TTGATCGTCACATTATAACGCCCCCACGACTGAAAGGGCGAGCGTGTTTGGTGTGACGGGGATTCGAACCCGCAGATTGCGAGTTGAGCGCCCTAACCACCTGGCGAAACACAGTTGAACTAATACTTGTGCTTGAAAGATCATAGCATTATGAGAGTTCTTGATTTTGAGGAATCCAAATACACGACGAGAAATATATTCGTTAAAGCTTGCAGTTGAAAAGGAGTGATATTGCTGAATTCTGTTGATTTATTCTAAACTTCATATTAACAATTATTAAACTCTCTTCGTTCCTCTTTATTTGCTCTTATTGGTAATACGTATATTACATTCAAACGTGTATTGTGCGATACTTAACTAATTATCTAATTAACTAATACAGCATAGGTAAAATTGGTTTAATAAATAACAAAGAAAAGTCAACCCACGAAAGATACCATAGTACAACTGTCGGGTAAAGAACACATCAGGAAAATAAATCTTATTGTCTTAGAAGCGACTCCAATGTATTTTAATATCCTTGTGAAAAAAATAAAAATAAATACGAAATCCATAAATGCACCTAACTAATGAGGTAACACAGTCACATTTTACTAATATGGACATTCAAAAACGTTCGTCATTAATACATTTTATGAAGGGTACCTGAACGTGTCGTTGACTTTAAACAAATTCTGTAAAATGTGCAACTCAATGTGTGTTATCATATACTGTGCTTAATTATTTTAAAATATCTAACAAAATTTAACGGTCCTTATCATATTGGGTACATAACAAATAAAAGATGGAATATATCTTCAGGAAGTAGACAGGTATGACATACATTAGACATAATTTTATTCGGCAAAGTATGATACTATGAAAGTTCACATTGACCCAAACGTAATTTACGACAGTCGCAAGAGATCGTAAATGCTTCATTAACTGCTTCGTGAGCTAGACATTTATCATGTCCTTTTGTTTCTTTTTCATCTGTCTTGCCAAACCTTCATGACATTGAATTACAAAATAAAGATATCTGTAAGTTGGCCTAGCAACATTTATAATCTTTTTATGTAATGCTGATTTTGCAATTTTATCAGCAATTTCACTGCCAAAAATACCAACATATCAGTAGCACAGCATTCGTAAATGAGATTATTATAAATAGGGGGAAAAACTAAAATTTTAACGGAAAGTAGAGATCGTTGGTTCTTCGTATAACTGCTATAAGAAGTATCCAAAAATAAATGTCGCAATAAAAAGTATTGTTTGTTTGTTTTTGAATTTCGCGCAAAGTTACACGAGGGCTATATGCACTAGCCGTCTCTAATTTAGCAGTGTAAGACTAGAGGGAAGGCAGCTAGTCATCACCACCCACCGCCAACTCTTGGGCTACTCTTTTTCCAACGAATAGTGGGATTGACCGTCACATTATAACGTCCCCACGGATGAAACGGCGAGCATGTTTGGTGTGACGGAGATCCGAACCCAATAAAAAGTACACAAATACGTAAAGTGATAATAGTTATTGCAGCATATATTTATTATTGGATACTTCTTATAGCAATTCTACGAAGAACCAACGATTCCTATTTTCTGTTAAAATTATATTTTATTTTACTATTTATTTGTTCAATTTTTATATGTCTATGGAATGGACACAACATCTGTAAACTTTCAATATAACCACATCGCTGATAGCTATAACTTTTACAAGAATTAAAACCACAATCACAAATTTTGACAATGTAATCCTTATTTTAGCCCACAGATAAGTGTATAAAGCTGCCAAACTAGGTTTAAATTTTATAAATTTGTTATTGTGGCTTTAATTCTTGTGTCATTACTTTTTGTAGTAGGATCCTTACTTCATTTTAAAATTCACAATTTCTAAAACTATTGTTGGTTTATTTTTTTATGTTATACCTGTATAAGGTATATACTTTACCTTTAGAAACTGTCGCGTATCCATCCATCGATATGTAGCGCTATCTGTTGGTTTGAATTGGGTTTAAAAGATATTTAAGTACGTGTTTACCATTTATAAAAAAAAATTAAAAAATCTGTATATACTTATCGGAATATCAAAAGCAGATACCCACAGACCAATCAAG